CAACCTTGCGGCCAAGCAGATCAATTGTCATAACTACTTTACTTCTCTTGGCCCGTTCAGCTTCTTCCAACTCCTCCCTTTTCTTCCTCAAAAGCTCTTTTTCCTGAGACAAAAGAAATGTCTGAGTATATTAATAATTAATATTAGTTTAAAAATCAAGGGTCAATATGGCAAATTGGCCATTCTATTTCATAGAAAGCAATATGTTTCTTTCCATTTTGACCAAGATATGAATGCCAAACCTGCTTCACATATTAGGTGAGTTACTCAGGCCAAATCATTATTTACTTCAGTTTTCTAGATAGGACAATGCTACATGTACAATTACAATTGTAGTTTACAACATTAGTTGACAACTTGGTTAAAAGTATCATTAACTCAAATCTCAAACATACATTTATTTGCATATTAACCACCCACATCATGTTGTCATCCAATGTTGTACAAAAAAGTTGTACAAATAGCTTTTTCCTTCTAGAAAATAGAAATAGAAGACAAAAGGAGGTAAAAATTGACAGCTGAAGTCAAAATCGGCTAACATACAATTTCGTTAACAGTCAAAACCGGTCCAGCATTCATTATTTTGTGCTCGGGATTACTTAGGGTGTGATTGGATATAAACTTCGCCAGTAAAAAACAATAAAAAACTCAAATTTAACTTAACTTTAACACAACTCTAACATCCTCAATATTATTAATATAAAATAATATCAATCAATCATTCTTACACATCACATCAACTTTAATTCACTTTTCATCCATTCACATTATTTTAACTAACCATCACTTCCATCACTTCCAGTTATTTTCCTCCTACTTTACATCAAATCAACTTTAATTATTTTATTTTAATATAAAATCAAAATCCCATCAACAACTAACCATACCACATTTTTCAAAATTAACTGAAAAAAAAACCAATCAAATTCATATCCAATCACACCCTTATTCGTTTTACTTCTAGTTAAACATTATTTTATCTTTTTGTTTCTCGATGAAGCATTTGTGACGCGTACTGAAAATTCAAATCAAAACAGACCTCATTCGAGAGCCAGGTGTTCGACTCAAGTTCATAATAGTCACTCTGATCGTCAATAACCTTCGTCCGAGCAGCCGAGTTACGGTCATAGTCGACGAGCCTCTTCGCATAAGCTTCAGCAGCAGCCTCAGCATCAGTCACTAGCATCACACCCTCGTCCAGACCAGCATATTTGCTTCCTTCCTTCAGCACGAGGGCCCCACAGAAGCTGCACGGGCCCTCGCCTTCTTGCTCACACACTATCTTCCCACATGACAAGCAGTTGCTGATCAACATGTGCCGACGAGCCTGACACGAACACGGCTTGCCTTTCTGAAATACGATCGACCCTTTTGCGGCCTCGGCTAGAGAAACGACTTTTCCTGATTTTTTCTTCCGGCTTGTGGAAGGATTCGTGTTTTGAGTTCGGTTGTCCTGACTCGAGGAAGGGATAGCTTCTTTTGGCGGTTTCTGTGTTTTTTTAGTCGGGATTGTGCCCTCGTCTGCGCGTGGTTTGACATAGGCTTGGAGATCAGATGTTGTTGAAGTATATTGTTGGTGGGTGTTGGGGACTGTCGAGTGGCCTCTCCTTTTTAAGTACTCTTCGGTTACAGTTTTGCCAGCATCTTCTCCAATGATGTTCTGCAATACTTGCCGAATACATTAATAATAATAATAACAACAAAAACAACAACAACAGTAATGAAAAAGGAACTCCAGAAGATATGGCAGATAACAACACAAAAGTGATGAAGCTGTGACAAAGATAAACAAGATTTTTGAGAATGGGATCCATTTTCTTTGTTCTTCAAAATATGTGTTCTTCACTCTATTTGGTTGGATCATGGATGAAAGATTTATAAAAGTAACATTCTTGCTTCAAATCACGTCTGAGTAAATAAATATAAGCCAGAACCCAGAAATCAAGCTAACTTGAATATTATTGTGATTCAAGGTGTCATAACTCATAAGGATGCAAGCAATTCACGAGAGTGACACGTAGGGTATTAGGTTTGAGGTTGGATGAGGTTTGTGAAAACACTTTCCTCAGCAGGCAAGTTTATGACCAAATCTTTAATACAGTATGTGAAAATTAACAATACTCTATGTATGATATTCAGATATCAATCATGTATATAAGCATGAAAAATGCTAAATACATGGTGCTTTTAAGTTTTAATTTATGGTTATGAAAGTTTTAGCACCTTCACATTAGGGTGGATTGAATATACATATACTCTATTGAATCAAAATCTTGAGTACATGAAACTCATTACTCAGAAAGAATAGAACAATAATGTCGATTGAGCTCCATTTTCTACTTTCTCCCCTATGATATCATTGCAATAAATAAAAATAGGTTATATCTAACAATGTAGAAAAGATATCTAGTTAGGGAAAAACTCTACATCTCCAGCCTCTCCTCACCTCCAGGCGCTAGGCTAAATGTTTAATCCACATTATTCATTGTAAAAAGGATTTATTACATGTTATAAACTAACTAGTCTACATAACTCAGAAAGATCAATTGAGTACTCAGTCGGTCTTCAAATGGGCCGGATATAATTCCGTTAATTGGCCTATAACAATGTTAATGAGCATAGCTTACATAATATAATGAAATACACGGTGCACGAAAATCCAACTCCTTATAATAATATCAGAACTTTAAACTACCTATCATCATCAACAAAAGGCATACCAAGACCCAAAAACTCCATGCTCTTATAAAA